TTTTTTGCTACTAGGGATTGAACTCAGGACTTTGCACTTGCAAGGCAGGCAACAAAACCACTGAGCTAAATCCCTGGCCCATCTTAATGGTATTACTTAGTCCCAGACCTCAAAATCCTAAGAACAAACTTAGATTATAAACGCTTCTCAAGAAAGAAGAAAAATAATAATAAGAATAATAACAAAACTAAAATAACACATTTAGCTTCAAACCATGGTCTACAAAGTCTTCTAAGCAGGCAGGAGAATGTATTTTACTTTAGGTCCATTTGAGTCTCCTACCTAGGAGTGTAAGAGAGAAAGAAAGACGTAATAGAATCTGAAATAATTTATCTTGGGCCAAAATGTTTCAGAAAGGGGCATTCTTGTCAAGAAAGCAGATGCTAGAGCCTAGAGCCCTGTAAGGTCGATAGTGATCCTGGATAAGATTACAGAGGGCATTAAGAAAGGGATTCCATAAGAGGATCACAGACCAATGTACATCCACCCAATTGTACCCCTTACTTTGACAAGCTGCTGAACTGGGGAAGCAAGAGTCACAAATAGACAAAATGTGTTTTGTCTTGCTTTGAATGAAATCTTTTTAAATCCCAATAAGATGTTTATGAGCAAATGAAGAAATTCAAATTATATAAACAGAATGTGAAGCAGTTCCTTTCACTATGTGATAACCTTATACAAAGACAATGCTAATTAATGGATGATGCCAACTGAAACAAAAGTGATATAGACAGATGTGACACAGTTCTGCTGTTCTTGCCCTTTTCATCAATGAATTAATTGGATAAAAATAAAAGAATCACATTCATCAAATCTGTGGACGAAAACATGGGAAAAATGGCAAACATACTCTATGTAATAATGAAAATGCTAACAAATTAATCTAATAAAATAATCCAATAAAATAAACTTAGCATAAATGACTTCAGGATCCAAAGTAAAATAATGACAGTGATAACAGAAAGTGAACAAGTCCAGGCTAGAGGAGATATAATTTATAGTATCACTCTCACTTAGGGATCACTTGAACATTTAGTTATCTAAGTATAGTAAATAAATCTGTGTTTCAGAGTTTTAAAAATGTGGAATGCTTTCTCACTATTCAAGTTTAATCAGAAGCTTTATACAAAGGACATGGCTGAATAAGCATGAGAGACACTTCGGGTCATTACTACCGTCTGTGTCACTGCTTGAACATTTTTAGGGAAATCGGGCAAATTTCCAGAGTCGGGCCTGGCTGGGCCTCTTCCCTCAGCCAGCTCACTGAAATGCTCCTAACTAGACTCCAGATGCCAGTCCTTTGGTGGTACTAATGTCTACCTCACATGCCTGAAATCTTCCAAAGCTCTCCCTGGCCTTCAGGAAAAGATCCCAATGTAAATCATGAGGCTTTCACTGTTTCATGCCAGCCTAATTCTCCAGTTCCATCTCTGCCCACCTCTTCCCACTACCCCTGGGCTTGCTTCCCACAACATGCCTGGCTCAGTCTTCCTCTGTCATTGCTCTACCCAGATATTTTCTCCCTTTACTCTTCACTGTCCTTTTTTTCCCCCCATTAACTTTATTGGTACATTTTAGGTTACAATACAGTTACATTCATCGTTGGGATCTTGTACCTTTACATGATGTATCTTGGTTCTTATTTTTTCCCCATTCCCCTGCCCACCCTTCCCTATTTATGAAGACTTTGTTTCCTTTTTTTTTTTTAAACAAATGTCAAGTCATCCTTCAATCTCAGCTCACACTTCCTCAGTGTTCGCATGGTGTACTACATATGCTTCTTCTAAGTGTGTTATAATAGTTCACCAAAGTGAGAAGTTTTTTTGCTCACCAAAGTGAGAATGAAGATTTTTTTTTTTGCTTGAGGAAAAATACGTGCAACAAGTATGAGTGTATTAATACATTTAGTACATAGAAATGGACAAGAAAGTTATTAAAGATAGATACCTTCAATAAAACCATGTAACTCATACACTAAGAAATATCAATAGGTAATAGCCATGAAAACAAAAGGAAATCATATTTCTACCACAGAGCAGAAAAATCTGAGTGGTGCTACAGGAGAGCATGTGTCTCGGGAGAATGTGGAGACACTGGAGCCCAACCTGTAGCTGTGTACAGCTACCTGCTTTCCTATAACCCTTGAAAAATGTTTAGTATCTTTTAAATATTTTATACATGAGGAAGCAGAGGGATTACATGATTTGCCCAAAGTGTCACAGCTTGTTAAAGAGCAAAGCCAGAATCTGAACCAGGCTTGTGACTGTGATCCGGGGTCTGAACTCTGAGCCATTATGCTATGATGGCCTTCTAATCAAAGGCCTTTGAGTTAATGATGATGATAAATCAAGGTTCCCAAGTGCTGGGATTACAGCTATGCGTGACCACCCCTGGCCATACCTATTTCTTTTGCCTGAACTACTGTCACAGCCTCTGAAGTGGTCCTCATTCTCCATCTGTGCTCAACTGTCTACTCTGCACAAAGTCAACAGAATGACCTTCCAAAAATAAGTAGCAGATCATGTCACTCCCTGGTTTAAAATGGAGGCAGATTCTTCTTATAAACACTCTCCACTGTCTCATGACCCTGTCAGGCCCTGCATGCCCTTTTATACAGCTCCACTCTTCTTGACCCTGAGCATCTTTCCATTTGTCACACACTAAGCCAGTCCCGGCCTTAAGGTCTTTGCACTTGTCATTCACAGGCCTCCTTCCTGGCTCTCCAGGTGGGTCCTGGGGCCTACATGTCATCAGCTCTAAATTAGCACTCACTTCCTCAGAAAGGCCTTTCTCCATCACCCTAGGAGGAAGGACCATCCTTGTGGTTTGCCCCTGTGTCCCACAACACAACCCATGCAGCCCTCACTTTTACCATAGTTCCCTGCTTCACTTCTTCCAGGCTTTCATCACTGAGTGGAGAAATTGTTGCACACGATTCTGGGTTTACTTTCTGTCCCTCCTAAGGAGCACGTAAGCTCCATGAGAGCAAAGACAGCCTCTCTCCTTCAGCACTGAACCGCACCCTCACCCATTAGCTAGATAAAACCACCTGGCATACAAAAAGTATACAGGAAACAGTCTCTGAATAAATTGAATAAATGGATGAATTTATAAGTGGAACATAGTGAGTGCATAATTACATTACTGTGGAAGATGATCAACTTAATTTTTTAAAATCATGTTACAAAAAGTATACACTCTAACCATGATTTAACAAGTTTGGATAGCAAATACATGTGTACATATGTGCAGAAATTAATCTAGAAAAATAGAGGGCCAGAGATTTAGCTCAGCGGTTCTGCTGCCTGCCTCAAAACTGCAAGGTCCCAAGTTCGATCCCCAGTACCAAAAAAAAAAAAAAGAATATCTAGAAAAATATACAGTGGAATGTTGGAATCACCACTGAGTGTTGAGAGTAAAAACATTTTTTAAAATTTGTATTTATATTTCCCAAACTTTCTAAATTTTTGTAAGGAAAGTATTTTTATTTTTACAAATTTAAAAAACTTATTTCTACTTTTAAACTATAACAATTCAGTATAAAAATAAGTTACAAAATAAGAAAAAGCTAACAAAGTGAACAAATATTTTCTTAGTACTCAAATAAATATAGAACAAAATGATGTAAGCTATATTAAAAAAAAACCCATAAAAGTAATTTTTTGACTCGGTAAATCAATTTAAAGAAAGAATCTGAAACTTACTAGATGCTATGGTTGTGATATGGTTTAACTGTGTCCTCCAAGGAACCACTGTGACTGGAGGCTTGGTCTGCAGGGTGGTAGTACTGGGATGTAAGACCCATAAGAGGTCCTTAGGTTAGAGGTAAGTCCTGAGGTCACTGGAAGCATGTACCCCGAAGGCACTGTGGGATCCTAGTTGCTCTCTTTAATTTCCTGTTTGGCAATGTAATTACACACACACACACACACACACACACACACCTCTGCCATGATAGGATGTAGCAGAGGGGGAGGAACCTCACCTCCCTCCCCAGAACTGAGCCAGTGCCAGCAACATGCCTCGAACCTGCAAAACTGTGAGTTAAATAAACTTATTCTTCGTAAGTAGCCAGCTATTTCATTATAGTGACAAACAGCTAAGATACTGAATGAAAAAAACAGGTTTATGCCCAAAGACTATGGCTTTAATTATGAATTAGAATTAGAAAAGTTTAAAAAAATGTAAGTGGTTAAACTACCGTTCACTCATAGAATGGAATGTTACACAGGTATCAATACATACTGAAGAATTTTTTAGTAAATGGGGAAACATTTCATAAAATGTTAAGTGACAAAATGAGAGAATAAAAATGAATATCCAGAATGACCTCAACTATGTGAAAAGTGAGGGAAAATATGGGCAAGGAAATATGATACACCACAGTTTAAAACTAGTAATTTGCAGGCCATGACCTTGGAAATGCTTTGTTTGAAACATGTTTAACAACAACAACAAAAGCTGAATTATATTGATTATATGCCAAAATTCTAAAATAGAGCATTTAAATATTAAATCCAGAAGCTCTGGAAACATCCATCCTACACCCACAGGGCAACAACCTGTTATTCTAGAGTCTTCCCTCCTTTTCACCTTCTCACTTTTCCTTACTGGTTGCTTCTATTACCATAACAAAATCCTGAGACATCGACTTAAAAAGAGAACACACTCATCGTGTCTCACACTCCTGGAGGCTCCACTCCGTGATCTATTTGCCCCTTTGCACTGGCTCTGTGGAGATGCAGCACATCTAGTGAGAGCATATGGTGGGGCAAAACCTCTCACCTCATTGCCAGAAGCAAAAGGGAGAGAGGGGACGCCACAATCCCCTTCAAAGCCCCCAATGACCTCGCACTTGGCCCCACTTCTTATATGTTCTACCTCTTTCCAAAAGCGCCACCCTGGGGACTAACTCTTGCACAGGGACCTGTGGGGGATACTCAAACTCTAAATTACCGTATAGGCGTTCCTAACATTGAGACGTTTCAGTTTCCATTTACCTGGAGTGTTACTGTTGCTCATCTTGTTACAGAGGTAAGAAGACAGAGCGACATTTTTTTTTTGTTTTTTGGTACCGGGGATCGAACTCGGGTCCTTCCGCTTGCGAGGCAGGCAGTGGAACCAGAGCGACATTGTTAATGGTTCACTTTCTATCAAAAACAAGATAAAGGGCAGATCAAATCCTCTTCAGAAATTTGCCTGACCTCCACTGACACAGAAGCATTTGCATTTTTTAGTCCAGTAGTGCAATGATGGTCTCTGTGGGTATAGCATTCACTGACTATGTGTAAATGAGCTGACAAGTTCCAAAACAGAGTCATCTGTAACTTTATTGAGGCTGGCCTTTGGGAGAGGGCGAGTTGGCTAAGAACTACTTCTAGCCAACAGCCCTACAGCTGCACGTCAAAACAGCTCGGATGCCACTTGTCACCACCTAGTGTACCTCACTAAGAGAAACAGTGTTTCTCTGTGGAAAGTGACCCCTTATACACAAAATAAAGGTAACTGATGGTTTCAATGGAGTTGGGAGTAGTAAAGTAGGTCATGGAAAGCAATGGTATGGACAGAAAATGTGACATAAAATAAAAAATACAATGTTGACCTTCCTGGTAACCTGACCTGTGACACAGCTTAACATTCCAGGAGTTCTACACAGAACAGCTTTGTGACTCATGAAATTGTTTTATCTAGCTGTATAGGGAAATAAAAATCAATATTTTTCATGAAGGTTAAGAATGTACCTTTCCTGACTACTTTTTATCACTACAACTTATATGTGCATATATTATAGATTTACACATTGCATATCATTTACAACTAACTACTGCCAACATTAAAACAATTTGTCTCTACATGGAATTGAGTATACAGAACAAATGTAGTTTTATATACTGTTAAATGCAAGGATTATTTTACCTACATGCTTTATTGCCTTTGTCTCTCAGTAAGACTGTGTGTTGGCATTTCTCTTGTAGGGTATCTGTGAACTTCATATAGCCTAGATTTGTTGGAGGAGCCCCACTCTCACCAATTTTACAACAGATAATCTCAAAAAAGCATGAAGTTTTACTTCAGGTCATGAAAGACTGTCCTTCACAGAAGATACAGTAGCAATTCTAAGCCTATTAGCGTAGGACATTCTCACACATGTTTAATATACGTTATCACTAACTGTCAACCAGGTGAAATAATCTAGCTATTGCTCATATAGTTGGATGAATAAACACGAGGAAATGTTTGTGTTCACTGAAAAGTAACATTAGAACAAAATTTCTTTTAAAATTGGAGGAGAGGAAAACCAGAATTACCTGAGTGCTAACTGTGGCAACTATCATTGATTGAGTGGACTTCCTGGTTATGAACTGCTCTGGTGACTCCCCACATGTCATGTGGCACATCTTCCCAGGGCACTGCTGCATATCTGATGCCTTCTCAGAGCCAAGCTAAGCAAAGGCACTCAACAGTGACTGAATAAATCACCTGATATTTCTATAAAAGGAAAAGAAGATTAGACTCTGACCTTCAAGAACTTATACAGGACCATTCAAAACAACTACAGAAGAAAATGCTTTCAATTCAAAATAAGAAGTACTGGCAACAGAAAGCATTTTAGTTTTAAATAAAAATTCAGTAAATATTTCCAGTGACCAGAAACAAAGAAATATTTTGCCAGAATGCTCTGAAATGCTTTTCACTTTGCCTTAGTCGTCATATCACGTTGGTAAAATCAAGATAACTATCAAACAGCCCCTGCATGCATCTAGGAGCTGGATAATATCATTCCCATTTTACAGACAAGGGAATAAGCCCAAGAACTTTCCCAAGCTCCCACAAACTGAATGTGACAGACAGTAATGGGATCTGATCTTTGCCCCCTGACTATATGACATGTTTTACCTGCTGGAAATTCAGGAAAGTAACAAGAGTAACAGCTGCCATTTCGACTCACAGACACAATCCCACCTAACATTTGGCATATAGCCCTTCCTAGAATTTTCCTATGTCATATGCAGAAAATTGTATACACAAACACATGCACCCTCAAAAAACAAAACCAAAACAAAACAAACTGAGGCCAACTTATACTAGATGCTTCGAGATCTGTTTTTTCAGTTTACAAAGCGTGAGAATTTTTCCACATCACTAAATACTTCCCACATGGCTGTTAATGAAGAAAGAGTATTCCATTGTATGTATACACTACAATTCCTTTAATCAATCTCTCTATTACTGAGCATTTAAGTTGTTTCTAGTTTATAACGAGTATAAACAGTTACAATAGAGGGGGCTTTTTGATTTTTGCAGAGCTCATCAGCATCCGGAGAGATTTTTCCAGACTTCACAGAGCTCCCCTCCTGATTTTGGTATATCCCACTTGTAGACTTCCCATCAAGTTATGAATCACTTGAGGAGGACAAAGCCCCCAACAGCAGTGTGGTGCACACTTGTACTATGTAGGCGAGACCACTGCTATACACTGGTCTCTATACACATGCTTTACTATTATTTTTTCCCTTGGTTTAAATTCCTAGTGGTGGGAATGTCTGACTAATGGACAGGGTACATTTTTGAGGCTTTTGATGAGTAATACAAAATTGCCCTCCTGGAAAGTTGCAACAACTGAAACACCCACCAACAATATCCAAAAGTGACAATTTCCAAAACCCTCCAGAGCTGGCTAGATTTGTTTTTAAACAACCAAACCACTCTATGACCATAAGTTTTGAAAACAGTAAAACTACTGATAAAATACATCTGAGAAAACAGCAAATAATTTAGGCAACAAGTGCTCAATTTTAAAGTATCTATGTCTGCAAATATGAAATATAAAATGTTAATGATACCAGATACCATCAGACTGAACTTGACAGGTTGGCTATTAGAAAATATAGTGAAATGATGCTCTAAACTATACCAAGCTAGAAAGCGAAACACTGAACCTATATTTGCCGATATGGCTACTATCAGGCCTAACAGTTTAGCTTTTAATAGCAACATGCTCTGACTTTTAACAAGAAACTCATAAAATGCATTATATGCACATCTCACAGCTAATGTAGCAATTTGAAATTCTCAAAATTCTTTTAGATACTCATCTATCAATACGTATCTGGGTGTCTGCTATGGTCTGGGCACTGTTCTAGGCTGCAAACACAGTGGAGTCTGACAGTGGTAAACTGTGGGGAGCTGATGTTTTAGAGGGGAGTTCCAGCCTTTAAGTTGAAAGTCAGCAATCCAGGATGATGACTCCAGCAGGCAACTTCTGGGTTCTTAGACAAATTATAACACCCTTGAGTCTTGTTTCTTTATCTGTAAATGTTAGAAGTTGACCAGATAATCTGAAGACCCTTCTGGCTCGCAAATTCTATACTTTGGTTTAGTTTGAATGTCTAATTTTTACCAGAGCTTTGCATTTTACATTCCATCAGGTTCTTCCACAGAAAAATGAGAACTAGACTCTTCCAAAAAAACAATTTTATATCTACAGTAAAAATTTGGCCATCCAGGCACCTTTCAGGAATCAACATAAGATGAAGTTCCAGTTAAGATGATTTATGTTCCCAACTTTGTTTCTTTGAAGAGATTTCTCAAATATTCTCATCTCCTTCACTTTGTGCTTTAAATGCAAAGGCATGAAGCATAGCCTGGTGTTAGCTTTCCAAGCCTGCTTCGTTGAAAGAGCTGGCAGCCATACCTGTGACTTAGTAGTGTTTACACTGGCGCTCAGGAGCCCGGGGAGGGGCTTAAGTCCTGGTGGTAGATTCTCACCCTACTCCAGCTTACCCCGAACTTCAATGCAACAAGCACAGGCAATCTTATTTACAGAATGTCTACAACTCACTAACTCCATTAGCATTTCTAATATTAGAAACGGGAAGCACTACTTCTGTCACCACTTGTTATTTTCCACCAGTGTTCCTGCCACCAGCTCAACTGTCCTCAGACCTGGGACTCCTTGGAAAAAACTGCTTTGGGGAGTAGTCAGAGGAAGGCATAGCTAGGGGTCTCAACATCCCAAGGCACCCAAGCGATACACACCTTGAGAAGCAAAATCACCTGGCCGTGGCCTTTCAGGATACTGCTACTTACTAATGTAGATAGATGTTCTCAACTCTCGATACAAGTTCTCAACTCTAGGCATATATGCTGATTCCAATTTGCTCTCTATATCTGCTTTATACACCAGAAGAATAGTTAACACCCAAGATTTTCCCATCTCTGCAGAAATGCACATGAACAAATCACCCACCAGAAGTTTTTCTTCAACTTGAACATCAGGCAATAAAACATTAACTAATAAACATGAGCTTTGCTCATTTGAGCAACATCAGCAGCAGCATATTCCTAGGAATGCTGTGTTATCATTTTAGACAATGTCAGACAAATGTGGAATTCCTGAATTTCTATAATTCACAAGAGGTAATAAACGTAAAGGAGTTGGTAAAAACACTTTCACTCACGTTTTTAACTCTTTAAGTTTACCACAGCCAGTTCTCTGCTTCCTTACTTCGGCTATTTGCCTGAAGAGCTTTCACTGCAAGCAGAGAGGACAAAAGGACAAAGCGAATTGCTTAAGATCAAGGACTAAAAGAATCTGCTCTTTACCTAGTGCAGTTTGCAAAGAACTTATGAGAGAAAGCTGGAAGATAAAAGTTTACCTGGAAACAACTTACTATGTTCAGAATAGGAATGAGAAATTTAAACTCTCAGTCTACAAAAATCACAAAACTCCTGATATGGAATGAGAGACCAAAAGTCAGGGTCTAAAGAAAAACAACAGACTCATATTAGGTATCTACAACACTCGCTTGGCATAACACTCAATTCTCAAGCTTTCAATTAATATAAAGCAACACATATTTAGAATGACAGATTATAAATTGGGAAGAGGAAATACCACAAGTTCCTGATATTTCCTAAAATAAAGCATGCACACATTCCTCCTGTGAGAATTAAAGTACCTGCACAAAGTACATGCATTTTATCTGCTCATCAGCTTGTCATCTATCCAAAAGAAATGAAACATTCACTATGCAAAACATCTATCTTTGAAAATTTTACATGTAAGCCAATAGTTTCTGCACTGAAACCAAAGATGAAAATGCTAACTAAACCTTTCAGAAATCACTGTCATTTACAAAAATGTATTTTTACGATCCCATACTTGAATTTTATAAAAAAGCAATAATGTGGGCCAGGGATTTGGCTTAGTGGTTCTGCCGCTTGCCTTGCAAGCACAAAGACCCAAGTTCGATCCCTGGTACCAAAAAAAAAAAAAAAAATCACACAAAAAGCAATAGTGTGCCACCAACTGAGGGTAACAATGTGAGGGAGTGTTAAAAGTGTAATAGATTTGGTATCCATCAAGGGCCAGAGCCAAGCTGGAAAGCTCAGATAAGACTCCAGAATCAAGTACTGTGACCCAAAGCAAGCAAGATGATTCCTTCAACTCTCTAATTACTCATTTATTCAAAAAACAATCACAGTCTACTCTGTGAGCAAGGTGATGGCTCTTGCTGCAGATGCAATGGGAACAAGCAAATCTGCTGGTCTTCCGGGAGCCTCCAGCCCATGGAGGAACTCCACCATCCTACTTCTCATCTACTGGTTTCAACCTTGACCTATACCACACACGGCATGATTCCAGCATACTGCTGGCAGCGTTCTCCTTTGCCTCTGTCCTTCTAGCATGCAAGGCTTGGTCCTACTTCAGGGCCTTTGCACTTGCTGTTCCCTCTGCCTGAAACACTCTGCCTCCTGATCTCCAAAATCACAGGCTTCCTGCCCCTCACTGAACTCCCAGCTCAAACCTTTCTATCCCAGAAACACTTCTCTGGCCAAAAAATCTGAAACAGTAGCCCTCACCCTGGCCCTCTTTCCTGCAGCAAACCTATTTTATTACTTTCCGGGTACTTGACACTATCTGATATTACCTCCTTTATTACTCCTTTGCTCTGTATCCATTTCCCCAACTCAGATGTGAATTCAGAGCCAGTTCTATCTGTGTTGTGCATTGCTTTATCTCAGTCCCTAGAAAATGGCCTGAATATTAACAGATGTTCAATAAATATTTTAAGAAGAATATAGACAATATTGGCAATTTTGCAACACAATAACAGGAAATGAATAACAAAGGGGAAAAGAACACTTTAGATGTTAAAAGGCTAAATCATTTTTTTAAAAAATAAGTTTTGTTTTGTAAAAGATCACAGCTTACAACCCTCCAAACAAAAAGCATAATGGAAACACTAAAGCTCAACACTGGCTAATGCTAAACCTTATAATGAATTAGGCTAATTTCTAGCATTAGCACTGCTTCTACAGTTTGTTTTAAAAGCACTCTAAAAGAGATCCCAATGTTCATTTGAAAAAAGAGCAAGGCCAAATATTTTCTGAAAGCATCCTTCCCATCAAGAATTGTTAATAACCTCCTCTCACACCATTAATTTTATAACTATATTATTAGCATCATTAAAGTATTAGATACTGGTGATCATATAGAAATGTCAGAGATTTTAGTGCTTAATGGCAAGTAAGTTTTAGGAAACAAAAAACTGCCCTCATCTTCAATTTAACCAAAAGTATGTGCCTTCACTACATGGTCAAAAACATTTAAATTATTATTTAAAATATATTTTCTTACAAATAATTCTTAAAATTTGATATTAGCTCCTGTCTTTAGCTAAGTTGTTATTACAGCAGTAGAACTTTAGGTACTGACCATCTGTCTTGGCTCACATTTCAAAGGAAAAGATGCAAAAGATCCTTATGGATCACTTTGGAGTTAGAAATAAAGAAACAGTGCGCACTGGAGAGAGGGGGCAGTCCTGGAATGTGAGTGAAGAAGCAAATTACTGTACTACTGCCTTTGGGCTTTTGGGAGTAAATTAAATCCACTTACAAACCTCAAAAACTGATGCTTTACAGTAAGGTTATAGCAAAATGTTACAAACTATATATACACATGGAGAGGGAGGGGGAGGAGAGGAAGTTAAATAAATTATAGTTCATCATTAATGGAGTACTTAACTGCTATTGGAGAACGAGACAGCTCTCTTAGGTCTGATAAAGACTGCCATGACTTAGTGGGGTGGGGGGTGTCAGAACAGACTTTACAGTGTATTCTCATTTGCAGAAAGCCAAAAGAACACATTCAAAATGTTTATACGAGCGTAGGTTAGGACTGGAAAGTTAGAGGAGTCTGCATCCCTGGGGTGGGGGGGATGGGAGCTGTGGGATGTGCAGGAGAGAGTTGGACTCTACTTGCTACTCTGTCTCTTTTCATATCCATTGACTTTTCTCCAATGTGAACAGACTGCCTGTCCCACAAATAAACTTGATAAATTTGAACATAACTCATACTATTACCAACATATTCATCAAGGATGATCACTAGAAGCAAATGCTTTCACAAAGCACAAGTTTTGCTCCATTCATCAGCGCAGTCCCTGCTTCTCATTTCCCACAAGAGAATCCAAGTCTCGGCTAATCAGGCGTGTGCGCGTGACCTCACCTATTACAAAGCAAATATGCCTCCACTCCATTCTTGGAGGGGAAATAGCTGCTCAGTTCAACTTGAAAATACATCTCTTATTTAAATTGAGCTTGTAATTCTCTAATGAAGCCTCCAAATGAACAGTTTCCACGTGGCTATAAAACAGAAAGGCAACTTAAGAAACAACTAAGAGGACAGTCTCATGTTTGTAAAAGCACAGACTGTACTTAGGTTTCCTTTCCTCTGCTGGGCTTAGACAAGGAACTCTCTGATGTCAGTGAAATGGGACTTCAGATTAGCAGCAAAATCATCAGTGGAGGAGAGAGGCAAAGCATCATTTGCACTGAAAAAAAAACCCCACCTCACTTTTACATTTTAATTTCTGGGCAGGGAAGAATTGCTTTAAATTTAACTTTGGCACCATTTTTAGATCCCTGACTAAATGATACCAAGTCACATTAATGTGCCTCCAAGCAAATACTTTCTTTCATTAAAGACAAACATGAAACTGAAAACAAATGGGAAGGCAAACTTTAAACGGAAACTTTTTGTTGAAAAACGTATCTTAAAAGAACACATAAAAGAAATGCAAGCAACTCATTTCCACATAAACCATTCGATAACAGTACACAGTTTGTATCAACAGCTGACTGCACTAAACATACACACAAAGGAACACAGATACCTAACTGCGAATAAAAAATCTCCTATTTTCAGTAGCTGGAGGTGGGAACCAGAATCACATTAGTGAATCTCTCACTGAGTTCACAACTGATGTGCAGAGTTTTTGCTGCGTCTGAACTCGAGGTTTCGGCTTTGTGCTTTTAGACACTAATACATCAGAAATATCTTTCGGAACGCGTAACTTTGATCGCTAACACTTTAACGCTGAGTTTAGTGAGTACGGAGCCTTTGGACAGAAGCACAAAAACAGAACAGTCGCACGCACTATAAATACAAAAAGGACAAGGAACTGCTTTAATGAGGCGCTGAGCGACAGAGCCACCAAGTCGCCTGGCAGCTCACATCTTCAAAGAGAAAACATTTAAAGCTCCGTCCCATCCCCCAGGTAATCTCTGGCCTCCGTACTCCGTGGGGCAGAAGTTCGCCGGGGGAGTCGGTGCCCGCAGAGAGCCGCGTTCCCGGGTCACTCACCCGCGCGCCTCCAGACCGGCCCGGCCCGCCGAGCGCGCTCCCCGGTCCGCCGCGCCCACCCGGCCTCGGCACTCACCGGCCGCGCCGCGCCGCTACCTCGCCATCCCGCACGGTCGGATCGAACGCCTCGGCCGCCGCCCCGGGGTAGCCGGAGCCCGTAGCCGCCCAGGAGGGAGCCGCGGAAGAGGGGGCCGGACACAAGCCGCAGGCGCCGACACCTCCTCGCTCCAGCCGCACGGCGCTGGGCAGCTCGAGACTGCCCGCTGCCCTCTGCGAACCCCGAGAGCCGCCGCTGCTACCGCCGCGGGCGCCTCCGCGACGCAACGGTCACGGCCACGGCTCGGGCCACCGCCGAGTCGCTCCAGCGCCGAGTGCGGCGCGCGGGGGCGGTGCCTGCACGCCGCTCGGCGGGGGGC